GCCTGATTATCGTGGCACAAGTGGATCTAATGGGGTCGTAGCTGCCAGATTTGACGAGAGGGGGATGGGTCCCTCTGCCTGCACTCTCTCTTCTCTGGTGTGTCTGTGCTATGTACCTAGCACTGGTTTTGTGCTTCTTCCATAAAACGCTTCTCTCTCTTCTCTGGGAAGGTTTTCTGGGTTGGCAGGAGATTGTAAGTTTTGTCACTGTTATGGATGATGATGTTTTTGCATTTTAGCCCGTGTTTAGTGCTCCTTGGGAGCTGCATCTCAGGCTGTGGCGCTCACACACCTGATCTTGTGGCTCACCCGGAGTTGTACTCCTTCAGACTTCAGATGTGGTGCCCATGATATAGGCAGCTAGATTAGGGAATGCCCCCCCCACCCCCTACACACACACACACACACACACACACACACACACACACACACACATCATGGCAATGAAATTTTGAGAAATAAAGCCCGAGTCCAAAGTCTGAACCACCTTGAGGATCCAGAAAGCAAGACTTGATAAGACCTTCTCCAGCAGCCAACCCTGAGGAGACTGGACCCCTCCCTATAGAAAGGGCCTGAAGGAAATTACTGGAGAACCTTCAATTCCTGCCTTTATCTGATTAACCCTCAGAGAGCCCAGTCAGAGACGGTGGACCAACCCGCTGAGGGAAGATCCGGGAGGAGCAAAGGTCAAGAAAAGGAGTTTTCAAAGAGGATCATGGACCACTCTCAACTCTACCCCCTTCGCAACCAAACTAGCAATGGACTCTTACCTAGCTAGAAAGCCCCATGTGGTTCGGCAGTGAAAAACACTATAAAAGCCACCTTAAAAAAAGGAAGTGTGCGCTTATGCTGCCAGAGCCCAAGTGTGGTTTATGCCCACCTGGCTGAGCACATGTGGTGCCTGCGTCTTTCCTCTTGAGATGTGTACTTTCATACTTCCGTATCTAGTGCCAAGGTGTGTGTAGGAGCTCTCTCCACCTTTGGAGAAGCCTGAGTTCTCTCTTGAGCACCTTACTCTCTCTCTCTCTCTCTCTCTCTCTCTCTCTCTCTCACACACACACACACACACACACACACACACACACACACACACACACACTTTCTCTCCCTTCCTAAAACTCTCCAAATAAAATCTGTTCTGCTTCACTGCTTACCTACTCTTGAACTTCTTTTCTGCGAGGCAAGACAAGAATTTGGTAATCCTGAGAAAGATTACCTAGAATTGATGCTCCTTTTCTCTTTTCCAAAGAGCAATTCCTCATCCGAACCTGAGTTCCTGACTCCCTGAGAAATCGGGTGCCGAGAAGGCCAAGCGGGTGTCAGGTATGGCTTGTCGAGCCACCTTGTGGGGTTGAAGGGGCTCTGGCCCATGCTGTGTTCATTGCAGACTTTATCAGTCCTAACCTTCCCAGATGGAATCGGGGTGGCAGAGGTGGATAGGGAGAAATGGGCTGTCTCTCTCCTCTCTGCCTCACATAAGCCACACATGGTGAGAACACCTACTTCACCACATGGGCCTGCTTGGCAGGTTGAAGAACTCAAATATCTTTCTAGTACCTCGCTGAGGATTGTGCTTGGTACGTATGTGGTGACACCAGGGATTTGAACTCAAGACCCAAGGCTCTCCAGGCAGGTGCTCTGTGTCACTCTGCTATTCCTCCAGGCTCTCAAGTGTCTCTCTATAGATGCTGCTTAGGGGAACTTGCCTTGCCTGCCTCACGGGGGGGGGGGGGGGGGGGGGGAGCACCATCCAGGCATGAGGAAGGAGCCTTTTCATTTTTATTGCTCAGTGGAAATGCAAAGTATAGGGTGATTTGCTGGTTTTGTTTTTCTGTGAAGAAACTCTTATTTGCTTCTCTCTGCACTCACTATAGATTTTGTTTGTTTGTTTTTGTTTTGGAGCTATACCTGGCAATGCTCAAGTTCTTATACCTGGCTCTGCACTCAGGGATCCGTCCTGGCAATCTCAGAGACCATATGGGGGGCCAGGTTGATCGCACGCAAGGCAAGAGCCCTGCCACTGTACTATCATTCAAGCCCCTGGAAAAGTAAACTAGGAAGTGTTTGCGTGTTTGATAAATCAGTAGCACAGCAGATTGGACGGGATGTGACGTCCTAAGAGGCAGCCAATCTTGATTAACAAAACACAAACACAGTAAGGCTGTTACTGTAACAACATCTTAGTAATCTCTTCTACAAGGACTTAATGGCTCCATGGTGAGATACAATTTTCACTAACTTTCTTCTAAAAAACATTTTTGATCGTTCTGCTAGCAAATAATTGATAAGAAGCAACAAAAAAATATTAAGGGCCTGCTATGGGAACAGGCTTAAGGGATCACGGTCACGGTCATGGTCCTCCTGTTGTTCATCAATTTGCTTGAGCGGGTCCAGTAACGTCTCCATTGGAGACTTTGTTGTTACTGTGTTTGGCATATCAAATACATCACGGGTAGCTTGCCAGGCTCTGCCGTGTGGGCGAGATACTCTCGGTAGCTTGCCGGCTTCTCCGAGACGGGCGGAGGAATCGAACTCGGGTCAGCCATGTTGGCCGTGTGCAAGGCAAACGCCCTACCCGCTGTGCTATGGATGGTTGGGAAAATTAGAGACCATGGTGGAGGGAAGGTGCAATGGTGGTGGAATTGGGATTGGAATATTGAATGTCTGTAACAAATCATCATGAACAACTTTGTAAGCCACAGTATATAAAGTGTAAGGAAAAATTTACATATGTAGGCTTTACCTATTCCATGTAAACTCCAAAATATATTAACACAGAATTGCTTTAAAAGTGTTATTAATGACAGGTGAGACATAATTATTACCAGAATGAGATCCAAGTATAAAATAAAATTTAATGTAATCTACTTTAGGTCCCAGAGTTGAAAATGTTCATATGTAAATGAAGATAGGCATTTTACTATATTCTATTGAATGGTTTTAATTTTCTTATTTACATAGGTCAAAATCACATAGAATGGGCTGGAGAGATAGCACAGTGGGTAGGGCATTTGCCTTGCACGCGGCCGACCCGGGTTTGATTCCCAGCATCCCATATGGTCCCCTGAGCACCGGCAGGAGTGACTCCTGAGTGCAGAGCCAGGAGTAACCCCTGTGCATCGCCAGGTGTGACCCAAAAAAAAAAATCATCTAGCAATCACTAATTGACCCTTACTGATTTATTTTCTGATCATTCTCTTTGCTAGTTCTTAAAATTTGTTGAAATAAGCAATATAAATTTGTTATGTGCCAAAGGGGCAGGTTGGGATTGGGAAGGAAACTGGGGGATATTGGTGGAGGGAAGGTCACACTGGTGATGTTGGAACACTAAAAACTTGAAACAACTGTATAATGAGCAACTTTTTAAATCATGTTTTTAATAATAATCAATGAAAAACCCCTTCCCATCCACCCCCAAGCCCCAAAGTGTTCGAGGAACAGGACAGTGGGGGAGAAAAGATGAATGGCACTTTCTCCCTTGACCCTATTTCTGATTTTGAAGAGGTGACTATGCAAAATAATTGGGAAAGGAAGGGTAGTGCCAGCCAGCAAACAAGCTGGAAGGAGGAAGTTCCAGGGACAGATGTTGTCTGAGCACTGATTCTATTCGGTTCTGAGACCTCTTTGCCTAAGGGGATGGCGTGGACCCTTTCCCTTTGGGGAAACTAGAACGTTCCCTGGAAGACTTCACCTTAAGCAGAACAGGCTTAAGGTGAAGAAGAGACCACCAGCTGCAATGAGAACAGTGTTGAGTTCTCAAGCCCTTAGGCTAACCCAGTAGACCCAACAGCTCGCTGGCTGAGTCCAGGCTGGAAGCCAGGAAGGAACCAGCCGGGGTCAAAGTGCTGTTCCTTGAGAACAGAGGGGTCTGCCTCTCTTGCTGTTCCAAAACAGAACACTGCCTCTATCTTTCTGCCTTTTCAAATATCTTTGATTTCGTTGTTGCTAGTGAAAAGAAGTGTCATAAAAGATAGACTTTTGAAAATCCGGATGGGGTGGGGGGTGCTGTATATTGGTATATCTTCAGGAGGGGCTGAGACTTGAACTACACATGGCCATGCATTCGGGGTCACTCCTGGCCTTGCACTCAGAGGTTACTCCTGGCCATGCGCTCAGGGTCACCCCTAGCCTTGCCCTTGGGGCTCACTCCAGTGGCCCTGCACTGGGGGAACCTACGGGGTGCCAGATATGAAACCTGGGTTTCTGAAACACAGTCGCCTTACCCACTGGACTATCTCTTTAGGGCCCAACCACATATATATTTTTTCAAGTTCAAGCTAAACTTTTTCTTGGACGACCAAGCTTAGGTAAACATGGGAAATGGCTTTATTAGTTTTGTTTTTAAAAAAGGGAAGCAGAAAGCAAAAAAAAAAAAAAGCCCAAAACAAAAAACAATCAGGGGGCAGAGACACCCTCCCCACACAGTGCTTCCTTGCAGAGAAGTCTGTTTCCTGGGGTCCTCAGCAACCAGTTTCTGGGAGTCCTGCAGGGTTTCTTGGTCATCCTCTCATTTCTCACAGGAGGTCGGTTAGGCTTCAAGGAGGCAGCCTTGGGGATTCAGGAGGAATGACAGGAAGGGAGTGTGAGGTGTCCAGTGTCCCTCCGTCTCAGAAACTGGTGCTCTCTTCAGAAAGAGTCTGCGGGCTTGTTTTCAGTGGTTACTCCCTGTCACTCCTGCGCCCCGAGACCGAGGTAGGTGCTAGTCGTCAGAAACCCCATCTTATGGGTGAGAAAACAGAGGCACAGAGAACTCTAGCGAGGCTCCCGAGGCGCACAGATGCTAAGGGACAGTTCAAGCTCCCAGTTCTTTCCCTCCTGGCCGTGGTGGAGTGGTGGATGTGCTCCCCATCCAGATGCTGCAAACCAGCTCCCTCAAGCTCAGAGTCCTGGGGTCGGGAGTTATGATCTGTGCTGGTCTGTGTATCCTGGTGCCCAGGCCCGTGGCACGTCCAGCCTTCCGGGCGTGAGCGATGCGCGGGGACCACGCCGCTGCCGGTGGCCTACGCGGGACACTGCAGGTTGCAGAAGTCCGCGGAGGAGAAGAGCTGCAGCACGTTGACCAGCGGGAACATGAGCAGCGCCCCGAGCAGCGAGCCCAGCTGCACCGCCGCCCCGCACCATAAGAGGGCGCTGCGGCTGCGGTCGCGCAGGATCACGCCCAGCATCACCTTGACGTAGCTCAGGCAGCCGGTGAAGAGCACCCAGGAGGTCACCTGCGAACGGAGTGGGAGAGATGAAGCCGCGTGGAGGGGCTTTGGGAGGCGAGCCCCATGGGTGAAGGGAACCTCTAAGATCAAGGAGCGACTTTTATTTTTTTTTTTTGGTTTTGCCTTTTGGGCCACGCTCAGTGATGCTCAGGGCTTACCCCGGCTCTGAGCTCAGAAATAGTAATTCCTGGTGGGTCTCCGGGGACCATAAGGGATGCTGGGGATTGAACCCGAGTGTGCAAGGTGAGTGCTCTACCCACTGTGCTATCTCCCCACCCCAAAGGAGCACCTTTTGTGTGTTTGTATGGGGGCAGGGGATGGCCCCAACAGGGATAAGGGGCTTCCCTGATTTAACCCCAAACATAAGGACAACTCATACTTTTACTGGGTCTTCTGGGAGCGTCTGGGGGTCACTGCTGAGGCATGGTGAATAGACAGGAGCATTAGGTGGGGAGGCCGAGTCCTTGAAAGTCACCTCGCCGTCCTGAGCCTCCAATTCCATGCTCCCTGTCTGAGCTAACAAGGGCGCTTCACCCCAGAATGCCCTCTGCAGGCCAGGTACTTACTATGAGAACTTCTCCTCCCCAGTGGCCCTGCAGGAGGGGGCAGGGGCTCATCACCGCCATGGCCAGGTTGTAGGCCCCAAAGGTGGTCCCAAGCATGGCGAGTCCCACCAAGAACAGCAGGGACCTAGGGCAGGCAAGGGAGGGGATGAAGGAGGTGAGAATGCTGAGTGTCCCTGCAAGGCCCAGCCCCCTACAGAAGGGGCAGGTGAGAGTCTCAGGGTTCTTCTGGGAGGACCTGGCTCAGCTCCCAGCTCTGAACTGGATGCCTGAACCTCTGCCCTCACCCCTGAAATGAGCCCCACAGTCAGGGAGTGCAGGGCCTGCCTGGGGTTCCCTGAGACACCGCCCTTTCCTCTTGCAACACTCCTGCCTCATCCCAGAGCCTGGGCTGGGCTCTGATCCTGATAGGGCACAAGTCAGGTCTGTGGCAGTTGGTGGCCTGGCACCCCAGCTGCCCGTAGCCACTCTTGGGGAGCTGCTCTTCCCTGCAGGCCTCTACCGGGGGGTCTTCCTGTACCCCTGGGCGAGAGGAGAGGGTCTCTTCAGACTTTGAGTTCTCTCTGCTCCCAGATTCCTCAGATTCTCCCCTACTAACAATGGGGTGTCTCAGACCCTGCAGGTCTGTACCCACCTCACCAGCCTCCCCACACTGTCTGAAAGCCTTAGAGAATGGAGATTTCCTTTCTTCCTTCATTCTTTTTTCCTTCCTCCATCACCCTCTTGTCCCCCCCCCCCAACTTGCTTTTGAGGTCACACCCAGCACTGCTCAGGACTTACTCCAGGCTCTTGACTCAGGAGTCACTCCTGGCAGTTCTTGGGGGGAGCAGATGGGTCCCCAGAGAGCAAGTGTGTGCAAGGCAAGTGCCCTACCTGCTCTAGTTCATAAATGAATATTTTCTAACTCTCCTGTCCTCGTTCACCCCTTTACCCTGGCTGGGGGAGATGACTGTGCAGGTGGGGTGGTTAAGAGCCAGGGCGGGTAGGCAGGGCTGAAGGATGGGCGGGGGGGCCTAAAGTGACCCCAAGGTCCGTGATTCTCCTCCAGGGCCTGAACCCTGTGCATGAGAACCTCCTGGACTGTTCATTAAAAACTGAAACTGTGGGACCCCTAGGCTGGTTCAGGCTGTGGCTTCCCCAGTCATTCTCCTGGAACTGCCGCTGTAGGGAGCCAGCTGAGGACAGGGCTGATATCCAGGGACTCTGATCTGGGCCAGCCCCATTTCCACCTGACGGTTCTATTTGTAAATTAACCTCACTCAGTTCTTGCCTCCTTGCTCCTCCTTCTGAGTCAGTGGCAGCCCAAAGTAACCTCAGGCCTGTCACGTGTCAGGCATCAGCCCAAATCAACTCATCTCCTGCTCCCAGCAACCCCAACGAGCAGACCTGTTATGGCCCCTGAAGCACAGAGAAAGATGGAGTGACTTGTCCAATATCACACAGCTAGAAAGTGGCCAGGTGGAGATTTGAACCCAGGCAGTTAGTACAGTGAACCTATATGGATACTGGGTTCAAATCATATTCGTCTAGGGGCTGGGGAGATAGCACAGCGGGTAGGGCATTTGCCTTCCACGCAGCCAACCTGGCTTCAATTCCCAACATTCCATATGGTCCCCTGAGCACTGGCAGGAGTAACTCCTGAGTGCAGAGCCAGGAGTAACCCCTGTGCATCGCCGAGTGTGACCCAAAAAAGCAAAAAACAAAAAACAAAAACAAATCATATTCATCCAGGGTGGGGGTTGGGCCATACCCAGGGGAGTTCAGGAGTGACTTCGTGCTCAGGAGTGACCCCTGGGGGTGTTCAGAGGGACCATATGTGGTGCTGGGGATTCAACTGGGGTCAGCAGGATTCAAGTCAAGCCTTAACTCTGTGTTATCTCTCTGGCCTTAAAAACCATATTCTTGAGGCTGGAGCGATAGCACAGCGGGTAGGGCGTTTGCCTTGCACGCAGCCAACATGGCCGACACAGGTTCAATTCCCAGCATCCCATATGGTCCCCCGAGCACTGCCAGGAGCAATTCCTGAATGTATGAGCCAGGAGTAACCCCTGGGCATCGCCGGGTGTGACCCAAAAACAAAACAAAACAAAAAAAAACCCATGTTCTTAAAAGCCACTGTGCTGAGGCTATCTCATACCAAAACATATTACACTATGCTATAGTATACTAAGCTGTACCACATTAAACTGAACCATACTATACTAGACTACGCTTTCTGTACTACTTAATAATACACTACACTAGTTTACATTAAAATATACTATATTAAGCTATACTGTATTACATTATACTATACTAAGATATTCTACACTATTTTATACTGTACTACATTATACCACACACTACACTATACTGTGCTGTACTAAACTATACTACACTACCTTACACTATACACTATGCTATACTATACAACATTATACTACACTACACTATACTAAGTTATACATTTTATTATGCTCTATTACACTACACTATATTATACTAAGCTATACTACACTATACTGTATTATACTATTCTCACACTACACTATACTATGTAGTGTATAGTATAATGTAGTGTGATAGTATTTGTAGTGTATAGTTTGGTACAGTATGTAGTGTACTATAGTATACTAAACTATGTATAGTATATTATGGTATAGTATACTAAACTATATTATATGCTCTAAAAATTGTTTCTAATTGTAGAAAATCTGTCTTAGCTATTATAAGGATATGAAGCTTTTAATATGTTACTCTTAATACCAATATTATATTTTTAATTCTATTCAATTCAATTTTCTAAATTTAATTTTATATTGATGGACTGGAGCGATAGCACAGCGGGTAGGTGTTTGCCTTGCATGCGGCCTACTCAGGTTCGATTCCTCCATTCCTCTCGAAGAGCCTGGCAAGCTACCGAGAGTATCTCGCCCGCACAGCAGAGCCTGGCAAGCTCCCCATGATGTAATCAATATGCCAAAAAAAAGTAACAATGAGTTTCACAATGGAGATGTTACTGGCGTGTGCTCAAGCAAATCGATGAACAACGGGATGACAGTGCTACAGTGCTATACTAAACTATACTTTTTTTTTTTTGCTTTTTGGGTCACACCCGGCAATGCACAGGGGTTACTCCTGGCTCTGCACTCAGGAATTACTCCTGGAGGTGCTCAGGGAACCATATGGGATGCTGGGAATCGAACCCAGGTTGGCCGCGTGCAAGGCAAATGCCCTACCCGCTGTGCTATCACTCCAGCCCCTATACTATACTATAAAACACTATGTTAAGCTATGCTACACCATACTGTGCTATAATATGCTGGATCACACTACATTACATTATACTATACTAGGCTACTACACTTATACTATACCATATAAAGCTATACTACATTATGCTACGCTATACTATATTATACAATGCTAACACTAGGCTGCAACCTGATACACAGAGAGGAGTATTATGGATTCTGCACACCCCTGTGAACCCCTCCCGAACCCATGCTCCCCAAGTTCCTGGAGCCCCAGTAAAGCAGACCTGTAGGGCAGGTACATGGAGATGAAGCAGGCGAGAGGGTTAGCCATGGAGCTGAGCGTGGCAGACAGGTGGTAGGTCACGGGCCCGTAAGACAGGCAGGAGTAGGTCTGGACGGAGGGCAGCACCCCGTTGGTGAGCGTGTTCACAAAGGCCACCAGCACGTAGATGACGGTCAGCTGGAACGGGCCAGTGGAAGGCGCCTTCTCCTCCAGGGGCGCCAGGCTCTTGCTGCCGTCATCCGCCAGGCTGGGGATGCTCGGGGCGCTGTCATCCCGCGGCCGGATGGAGTTGAGGGTGACCTGGGAGATGAACAGGTCCTGGGTGGAGTGATCCCTGTGCCTAGATTGGTACTGGAGGAAAAAGAAGGCGACGAGGCAGCAGACCATCATGATGGTGAGCAGGAGGAAGAAGATGAAGGGCGAGAAGTGGGCAGGGAGGTAGCGGCTTTCCATAGAGCTTCCAGTGAGGGCTGCCGGGCTGGTGACTGCCTAGGGAGGAGAGGACACAAGTGAGACAGTGATACTGACTGATAACGTCCCACGCAGCTCAGCTGACACACAGTCACTGATGCAGAACTGCTAAGGTGATAAGGGGACATGCACAGCTTCTGTGCTCTTTAAAATACAAAAATTGATGGGGGCTGGAGCAATGGCACGGAGGGTAGGGCGTTTGCCTTGCATGCAGCCAATCTGGGTTCAATTCCCAACATCCCATATGGTCCCCTGAGCATCGCCAGAATTCCTGAGTGCAGAGCCAGGAGTAATCCCTGTGCATCGCCAGGTGTGACCCAAAAATCAAAAAAAAAAAAAACATAAATAAAAAATAAAATACAAAAATTGGGGTCGGAGGGCACACCCAGCAGTGCTCAGGGATTCCTTCTAACTCTGCACCCAGGGATCACTCCTGATGGGACTCAGGGGTCCGTGTGGGGTGCCAGGAACGGAACTCGAGTAGGCTATGGGCAAGGCAAGTGCCCTCCCTCTGTACTCTCACTCTGACCCCACCATCCCAGCTTCTGTGTTCTTAACAGCCCAGTGGTGGGCACCTTCACCCCAGATGAGAGGAACTGAAGGTGCAGGTTATCTGCAGGGCGCATGGGGGTCTGTCTGCTGCCCTGTATCCTCCCTCCACCACAGTCACTGCTTTGTGCCGGAGTGTGTATTAAGTTGGGGGCACTGCATGGGGTCTCCTTGGGGAGAGCCAGCCCCACCCGATGGTGACATGCCATGAGTCAGAAACCTTTTCAAGAGATCCCCAGGCCATTTTGTGACTGAAATCTCCAGGCTTTCTCAGGGTCGGGATGGGCTACCTTGCCCTACTTCCCTGTACTTACGGAAGCCTCGGCAGTCACATCCATACCCCAAAGTGACCACCCAGTTGAAAAGCTACTCCAGCCTTACAGTCCTGGTAAAAAATACCAAATGCCCTGAACAAACAACATGACCTCTTAGCACCTGTTTTGCAAACCTTAATACACAAAAGGAAAAGGAGAGAGAGAACAAGAAGGAAAGTGCCTCCCACAGAGGGAGGCTGGGAGTGGGGTGGGGTGTTCGGAGATGGTGGTGGGGAAGTAGGGGACATTGGTGGTAGGAAATGTACACTGGTGGAGGGATGGGTGCTGGATCATTGTATGACTGAAACCCAACTGTGAACAGCTTTGTAAGGGTCTATCTTGTGGATATTCAACAAAAAATCTTTTTAAAAAAGTAATGTGGAGTTCATGCCCAAGGCAATCAGCTTAATCAATGGCTGAATAAACAGTAGTATTTCTACATTAAAAAAGAGAGATAGGGGCTGGAGTGACAGCACAGCGGGTAGGGCGTTTGCCTTGCACGCGGCCGACCCGGGTTCGATTCCCAGCATCCCATATGATCCCCCGGGCACCGCCAGGGGTAATTCCTGGGTGTATGAGCCAGGAGTAACCCCTGTGCATTGCCAGGTGTGACCCAAAAAGAAAAAAAAAAGTTGAAATATCAATGAACTCAAATCATTTCATTAGTGAAAAATGACTCCCTTTTATTGGAGCTATAGTACATCAGGTGGGCCTTTCATGTGGCCAACCTGGGTTCAGTCCTCGGCATTCCATTTGGTTCCCTGAGCCTGCTGGGAGTAAGCCCTGAGCACTGCCGGATATAGCACAAAAATAAACAAGAAAAGAACTATTTGGGGACTGGAGCGATAATACAGCGAGTAGGGCACTTGCTTTGCATGCAGTCAAGTGTTCGGTCCCCCGCATCCCATATGGCCCCCCGAGCACCTCCAGGAATAATTCCTGAGCACAGAGCCAGGAATCACCCCTGAGCATCACTGGATATGGCTAAGAACAATACAAAACGAAACAAAAATCCACTTGCTCGAAGGGTCAGGGAGATGTGCCGTGTGCACGGGAGGCCCAAGTTCCAGCCTCTGTCCCACAGGGTCCCCCAGCATCTTAGGGTGTGGCCTGGTGACCTGGGCCAGCACTTTAGGGTGTGGCCTGGTGACCTGGGCCCACTGGTTTACAATTGCGTAGCAGCACCATAGTTTGGGACCTACGAGACAGAGGTGAACTGTTCAAGAGCAAGAGGAACAAAGGAACAAAGATTCGGTGTCTCTCTGAGAGTCTGTGGGACTCAGCCCTGGCTGTGCGTGTGCACCCAGGGGATGGGGGGCGGGGGCTGGAATCCACCCAACTCTACCCTCTCCTGTTCTAGAGCACCGAAAGCCAAACAGCTCTGAGAAAACTTGGGTGACGGCTGTGTCACTGGGCTGGACCTCACAGGGCAGATTCGTGCCTGAAGATGTTCTAGAAGGTGAAGCTCCAGCTCCCCAGAATCACTAGCCCCAAGGATTTCAGAAGAGCCCCAAGCTTTATCCCTTATACTCAATTGATGGGGAAGGATGAGGTGCTCTGGGGTTTCTGTAGCTCCCATGGGTGAGTTAAAGCAGGGCTTGTGACATTTTCCCCACTTCTGCCCCCTTTATTCCCAGGAAGACCAACCCAGCCAGGGCTTCCAGAAACCCCTCAGAATCACAGAACATTTGAGTTTGAATCAGAGTTTGCTCACTTTGCCTTCAAACACTGTTCCTGCTGCCAGACTCTATTGACTTTTCTTTTTTAAAGAAAGGCAGACTGCCACATGCAGCCTCTCCTTTGGAAGTATCTGGCATCTTGGAAGCTTGACCACCCTACATTCTCCTACAAACGGACCTCAAGAACTTGTTTAGGGGCCGGAGCGATAGATCAGCATGTAGGGCGTTTGCCTTGCATTCGGCTGACCCGGGTTCGGTTCCCAGCATCCCATGTGGTCCCCTGAGCACCACCAGGAGTAATTCCTGAGTGCAGAGCCAGGAGTAACCCCTGAGTGACACCGGGTGTGACCCAAAAAGAAAAAAAAAAAAAAAGAACTTGTTTAGAGGTTCTAGTAGGGGAGCACAGCTGTCTGTGTACCCCCCACTGATCAGGAGGGACACTAATGGGATGGTGATGGAGGAAGGGGACAGGACACCCAACTAGCCGGCCAGATCGGCCACATCAACCCTGGAGATCAATGGGGTGACAGATGTCACTGCCCGGTCAGCCTCACCTCTGCTGCCAAACTCTTGACCCAACCCCTGCAGTTGGTTCTGTGCCCCTTTAGGGGGTTTCAGCCACAGTCTAAGACACTATGACCCCCGCGACCACCAGGAAGCAGCCTCTGCTTGAGCTTCCCGAGGGGTCCCCACGGCTCACGAGAGTGCTGAGGTACCTGTGAGATGCTGCTCTTCTCCCAAGTGGTGTTAGGACTCGAGGTGCTGGCCGGCGTCGTGACGTTGACACAGGTGGTAAGGCCTGAGCCCTGGGCGAGAGCCACCAGGGCGGGCAGGAAACCGCTGAGTCCTTCGCCCACAAAGTAAGTGGTGAGGTAGCGGGAGGCCAGGCGGTTCATGAAAGGCAGGAAGGTGACGGAGGAGGTGCAGTCCACCAGCGCCAGGAAGAAGGCAAGGACCAGCAGGGCGATGCTGTGGCGGGCACCCAGCACCCAGGTCGTGGCCTGCCAGAAGAAGGTGAAGAGGAAGCAGGCCACGGTGCCCACGCCCAGCACGGCGAAGATGACGGGCACCTCGGAGAGGCAGCCAGGACGGAAGTGGTGGAGCATGGTGACGAGGAGGGGCCCGACGTTGGCCAGCTGAATGACCACGGTGAGGTAGGAGGGCAGGAGCCAGCCCTCAGGCAGCTCGGTGACCAGCAGCGGCAGCTCCACCCACAGGCCGTTGATGGCCACCCAGGAGCCCATCCCGAAGGTGCAGACCAGCAGGTGGGTGAGGAGGGCCATGATGGGGGCTGTGGCCTCCCTGGATCAGCCTGTGGTGGGGGTGGGGTGGGGTGGAGGACAGAGATAAAATACACAGTGAGGGACCGGAGCCATAATATAGTGGGGTGGGGGGGCACTTGCCTGGAAAGTTTGCAGCTAACTCAGGTTTGATCCCCAACGTCCCATAGGGTTCCCTGAGCACTGCCACAAGTGACCCCTGAGTGCAGAGCCAGGATAACAACCCCTGAGCATCACCAGGTAAGACCCAAATGGCCCAACATAAATACATACATACATACATGCATAAAGGAGTAAGCTCTGAGCATTGCCGTGTGGCCCCAAAACAAAATCAACAATACTTGGCTTCCTTCACCTACTCTCTCATAAAAGACTGTGCTTTGGGGCCAGAGTTTGTTCATGTGGCCCTTATGAACAGAGCACACAAATTCCCTTTTTTACCAAGTTCCTTCCCATCTACCTCCCCTGAATTCAGAGGGAGTTTTATTTGGGTTTTAGAAAAATATATATATTTACAGCAATTGAAGCCTCAGGTCTCTTAAATAGCCTTAAAAGAACGCAAGTGAGTTAGTTTATTTCCACAGTGAGAATATCCATACTGGTTTTACTAACTTTTATTGTTGTTGTTTTGGGGTAAACTTACCAGAGCCTGGGGGTTACCCCTGGCTCAGTGCTCAGGAGATTGCTCCCAGCAGTGATCAGGGGACCTTGTGGTACTGGTGATCAAACTCAGGCCTTCCATGTGCTCAGTCTCTCGAGTTTCCTCTCTGGTCTTTTTTGTTTTTATTTGGGGGGCACACTCAATGGTGCTCAGGACTTACTCCTGACTCTGCTCAAGAATCACTCCTGTTGGTGATTATCCATAGTTTTCAGCCACCCAATTTAAGGTTTCTTGAAATAGTATCCAGATAAGACTAAGAAATTACCTGTTAGGAGAATCCAGTCCTTAGAGATAACCAATAAAATGCAGCATCAAAGTAAAAAAAAAAAAAAAGAATCACTCCTGTTGGGGCTCTGGGGACCCTAGGAGGTACTTGGACTAGAACCTGGATTGAACACATGCAAGGCAAATGACCTACCCAAGTATTCTCTCTCTGGCCCCCTTAACTCTTGGCTCTATGACATAGGGAACCCTCTGCAGAGACTGGGATGGAACCAGGATCAGCCACACTTTAACCTGTTTTGCCTCTTGGACTCTGTGGAACAACCTTTTTATGGGGGAAGATTCTCCTATTCCTGCCTTATATGAAACTGGAGACATCATATGGAAGAAACCTTCCAACATGCAAAATCAAGTAAACCAGATGCCAGAATTAAAACACTACCAGCAGCAAGATGAAATGGGAGATGCCAGCCTGTGGGGGAAAGCTCTTGCAAAGACTATTAGATAGGTTCATCTTCTTAAAATATAAAGAGCGATTAGAAATCAAGAAAAACCAAGACAGTGAGCTGGAGCGATAGCACAGTGGGTAGGGCGTTTGCCTTGCATGCGGCCGACCTGGGTTTGATTCCCAGCATCCCATATGGTCCCCCGAGCACCGCCAGGAGTAATTCCTAAGTGCAGAGCCAAGAGTGACCTCTGTGCATCGTTGGGTGTGACCCCTCCCCCCCAAAAAAAAGAAAAAAAAGAAAAACCAAGAGAAGGGGGCAAAGGATTGAGCAATCTGGGGGAAAAGAGGAGTGAACACCTTCAACATAAAGGAAGATGGTGGCTTCAGCCCAAGGACAGGTCAGTGAACAGTGTCCTCCGAGGGCTGTTTCTCACTCTCAATGCCCCGGAAGTAGAGGCTACCTGCCTAGGCCAAAGGGTACAGGTTCGTTATTCCTGAGGCCTTTTTGGCAACTGCAAAATTTGGGGCGATAGCCAAGAGCCTCTTGCTAGATTGTGCAAGTGATCTTTCCAGATCCTGCCCGTCACATGCTTGTTTACAGGCAGGACCTGGAGAACTCTGGCGGGCCATAAAGGATCTGAATAGAACCCTGGAGGGGGATGTAGAAGGAGGAAGAATAGTTCTCGGGGCTTTATAGGACCAGTTTGTCCTTAAAGGACAGACAGGAATGGTGAGGGTGGGAGGTTTGGGATGCCTCAGTGTAACTTTAAAAAAATTGGAGTGGGGGAAGGCAGACCCAGCTATATGTACAGGGGAGCGATAGCACAGTGCTCCAGAGACCCTGTGGTACCTGGGCTCCAGCCTGGGGCTACAGCCCTCTGAGCACCTCCTGATCCTCAGTATAGGCCTTTGGAAATAATCTGGATTTACCAAACACACACACACAAATATGTCACGGGGCCAGAGTGATAAAACAGTGGGTGGCGTGCTTGAATGCAGCTGACCCAGGTTTGATTCTCGGCATCCCATGTGAAGTATTTCCTGGTGTGCCCCCCCTCAACTGTGCTTTCCCAAAACAGGAGAATAGAATCAACAATCTCCCATGTAAACCAGAATTCCAGGGGTATCTTAGTCCCTTCCTTTAGATGCCTTATAGACATTTTTCTTAACTTTTTTCCAAATCTTGGTTTCTAGAGTTCCTTCATCCAGGAACCATGGGTTTACTTCATAAACTACTTTAAAGCAGGACCAGAGCTGGTCTCTGGAAATGTAGAGTTTTGGATTCCCTGTCTTGTGGGAGAGACACTTAATCAAATTTATAAATGTCTTCTCCTGTTCAGTCTGACCCGAGAAACTATGAAAAATCTTGGGAAGGCCCAGAATCTGTCCCATCTTAGTGGAAGATTGCTGGTAGAATTCTAATTCCCAGAAAACTAAAAATCCTACTCACTTTCTAGAGTGGGGATGCACCGAACGCTATTCTTACCTTTAATTGGTAGCTCGAGCCCGCCCAAGGGACGCCAGCTGTAAAATCTTATCAAGCCCAAGGTTGTGTGTTCACGGGCTCACTGGATGGCACTGTCTCACTGCCTGCGTTCGGTGCTCTTGAGCCGCTGTGTGTGGCCTGGATCGGAACGGCTGTTGGCCAAGGGCAGACGGAAGAAGAAACGAGGGCCAGGCCGGTCTATATCAATAGTAGTTTATTCCAATCCTCTTCACTCCTGTCTTTCTCTGCCTCCTTCTCTCCTGGGCCCCAATCTTGGAACCTCTCTCCTTCTGGCTCTGACTCTGGATCTCTGGAGCCTGAGCTCTCTCGCTTCTGACTCTCTCTCTCTGAGCTTACCGTCTTAAGTTTATATAGCAGTCACATAAGGCAGTGACATAAAGGTGGGTTGAATAATGACGAATCAACAAAGAGAGGTAAGACCACTCCTCCAGGAGATTAACTCAAGGATAAAATCTCATCCACAGAGATTACTCCAGGTTACTAGGACATCCGCTCAAGGGTGGGATCCCAACAAGGGTGTGTTCTTTCCTCAGTTAGTAATCTACTTAAATAGTTGTAATAAATCTACTTCTAATATTTCTAGCAATGTCATTCTGTATGAGCACAGTAAGAGATATAAATTTAGTTTGGTTCTTCCTGAGAACATCTCACTATACTTTCTGCAGTCCTCAGGCCAGGTTAATCTTCCTAGCTCCAGCAGGGTCCTAGTCTCGTCGTTACTTACTTTTGGATCATGACAGCATTTGTCCATGATCATGCCCTCAACTTATAGTTGAGTATCGTGGCTCTTTGGCTTGGCCCATTTCGATGCCAGGGTAGCTCACCGCTTGCCCTGGGTCCATTCAGTCCCTCGTCGGGACCCTGCTTTTGGGGTGCTAGGAACTAAGGGCAACTGAGTCAAGAAATCAGATGCCCAGGAGTAAATATTATTCGGAGTCAATCAACTCCCAAGTTACAAAGCATAATATTAACTGTCTTCCTGTGTCCATACAGAAAGGACATTGCTTACAATACAAGTTCAGTGTCCTTAGATGGGTGTGACCTGACAAACCTAAGCTACCTGAGGAAGGACAAAAGAGTGTTATCCTACAGTGTGCCCCCCCCCCCACACACACCTTAAAAAAGAAAAGTTACGAAAGGGCTATGGAGGGACCTGAGAGATAGTATGGCAGTAGAGCGCTTGCCTTGCTATGGCGGCTGACCTGGGTTTGATCCCTGGAACCCTATCTGGTCCCCAGAGCGCAGCCAGGACTAAGCCCTGAGCACCGCCAGATATGGCCCCGAAACTAGAAGGGTGTATGAGATGGGGGAAATGGAGACAGTACAGTAGTGAGGTACCTGGCCGGCATGGGAGGGGCCTCAGTTTGCTCCCTTTCATCACATGGCCCCAAGAACCCCCAGATACAGCCCTGCAGGTCCCGACACTATAGGGACTAAGCAAGTCTGACCCCTTCGAAGGGCCCTCGCAGCCACTCCACAGGCTCAGATGGCCAAGAATCACCATGGGGAACCCTGGACCCCTGAACAGCACTTGGAAGCCTCCCCCACAAGCTTAAAAATGTAGGGTCACTTGAAATAAAATTCCAATTTCTATTCTCCTAAACTTCCAGAACTCCCCAGCTGGACAGTCCCTTGACTATCCCTCCCCGCAAACTCCCTACCCCCTCACCCCCACCCTCCCCACCCCCTGCTTAACTCTAGCTCTGGGAACCATTCTGCCACCTGCTTGTCACCTTCTCAGTCACCGCAGCACCCACCTGTGCATTTAAGGACTCAGTCACCACCACCACCCCCAATTCCAATAAAGTAATCGGGGAGTGACTGGGAGTTCAGATTCTGCCTGACTTGAACCAAGCTCTGCCACAGACTAGTGGGGTGACTTTGGCCAGGACACAGGCCTGCTATACTTCATTGCCTCATCAGAGGACAATAGTCCTAGTGTCCTGCAGTCAAGATGCAAATAAGCGCATGAGTGTGCTTAGTCTCACACCCAGACCAGTCTCAAAGCCAGCACCCATGACTGTTATCACTGGTGTGAAATGCCAGGCTTGGGCACAGGCATTCTTTGCTAGTTCACCCAAAAAAGACACGACCATTAACATTTGCAAAGGGTGAGAGCTTAGGAGGTAGGGGTGAGGCGATGCATCTGACCTGGGGTCCCATTC